TTAGGACTTTAATCTCTTTCTATCCCGGGGCACATGACAAAATCTAATATTAAAAAAACCCTAGACCATGCCAAAACAAAGGAAGGAAGACACACTTGCACATGCTTGTATGGGTTTTGAGTGTATTACATCAATTGTTTTGCTATGGTTTTGAGTGCTGCATTTCATTTCGCAAGATGGGGAGTTTTGATAAACCAATTAACAATTTAAACAAAGCAATTAACACAGTTTGTGTTCAGAGCTTTGAGAAACTGAGCCACACTTTCCAGATATAAATGTCTGGGGAATAATATAACTTTGAAGTGGGGAACTGATGTTACATAATGAGTATGAGTCACTTATTTCCCCTTTTTTCTGGTTAAAAAAAATAAGTGGACGCAAACGTCATTGAAGTCAGTTTTAATGAGAATTGAGAGTCAGAATGATACACAGAGCCACCGTAAAAAATCACCACGTCTAAGCTTTTCAGAAAGATGTTATACAAGTTTTATAAGTCAAATGATTCACATACATATGTGTTGAGATGGATATACAACAATTAGAAAAGACATGGATTCTTAATAGAGTAATGATGTTTCTTACATATTCAGCTTAGAAACTGTGTATGGTAAAATGACAGTGGGAAAGGGGAAGAGAATAAATAAGAACACAATAGACGAAAAAGAAGAATACATGTAAAATCAAGAGCAAACAGAGACAAAAGATTTAATTTAACCCAAATATCATTAGAAACAACCAAGACTGTCAGTCTGTGAAAGCTTAAGGCTTGATCATACAGGAAACATTTATCTGGTGATTTCTGTTTTGTAATACAATTTGATGTATTTTGCTAGCCAATTGTGTCCTCCAGGAAGCTTGCATGTATCAACATAGCATGCTTGCAGCATTTAGGAAGGTCTCTTGAGAAAACAGGATAAGGTTAACCACTCATAGCTGCCCCTCCCTGAGCCTGGTTCTGCTGGAGGTTTCTTCCTGTTAAAAGATAGTTTTTTCTTCCCACTGTTGCCAAGGATGTTGTTTAATTGTAAAGGTTTTCTCCATGTCATTGTAGGGTCTTTACCTTACAGTATAAAGCACTCTGAGATGAGTGTTGTTCTGATTTGGAGCTATATAAATAAAATTGAACTGAACTGAATTGAATATGGTTCTGTTCTTCAGTTTCTTCTAACATGGCTTGTTGGGTCCCTAATTTTGACTTGAGCATAAAAATAAAATTGAGATGAATGATCTTTTGCCCACTTCTTATAAACAAAAAGTGGAACTATGTACAAAATTGTAAAAATATAAAGTTTATGTATCATCATTATAACTCCAAGCTGCTCTCACTCAAATGACAATCTAAATCACAGTTTTGCAAATCTCTGAACACAAACGCATTTTGTTCTAGAAACATGGCCTCAAAGTACACTCTGACTATTAATTCGTCTCACTCATGCTCCTCCTTTGAACCACTCAACCGGAAGAACGATCCTGTATCAGAGGATAGCACTGGCTTCAAGTGACAGGGAGAAGATGAAGCAACGAAAACACAAAGGAAGAGGAAAGGTAAGAAAAAAGCCTAGGAGGAAGAAGGCATTCTTTTATTTTTGTCAGGTCATCTGAAAACTTTGTATTGTGGTAACAAATAAATGTTTTGTTTGTTACGTTTTTTCTAAAAATTTGTGCACTGATTTGGTTTGTTTTGTTTCTCATTTATTTCCATTACAAAGGTTATAATGCACTAGATAACTGTAAATGGTATCTAAGGACAAAATAAAAATAAACATGTATACTTTTCCAAAACAAGAAAAAGTATGTACCATGGCCAAGCCAAGCCAAGACATAGTCAAACACCTCTGATGGTTTTGAATTGATCCGATCAGTGTTTTTTATTCTCTCTTAGATATAATCATCTAATAGCTGTTTGTGTTGTTTAGTTGGAAAGAATCAGTTTAGAGAGTGCTGTGTTTCATGTTGAAAGAGTTAACATCTTTGATTTTATGTTTAGAGTTCTGTGCAACCGACTTTTTCTAGAAATGTGTTGAAATTTCTCTAAAATCTGGATTTTCTTTTGTGTGTAGAAAACAAATAAAACAAAATTTAATTCTGTAATTCACTCCCATAGAGTGAGGGTCTAATGAAGCCGTCCCTCTCAGGTACCTTGTAGACCTTATAAGTAATACCTACTTCCTGGAGGACTTGGAGTAAGCAAACACTCATAGTGAGAGAAAGACACAATTTAAAGCACTGACACTAATGCAAATATAATCAATTTGCTCAAATGAAATGAATGGCTTAGAAACAAGAGTTCACATTATGGGTGATACTTGGTAAGCAAGTCTACTGTAAGATAACTTTGATCATGTTTTATCCTAGCATTAGGACTGCAGTTCAGAAATGCACATATCTTTAATTACACAGCTCTAATCTAAAATTAGAAAAGATACAGAATCAGATTTCTTCATACTACCCTGGCAATGCAGGTGATGCACCTGTTTAATGTTTATACAATATACCTATATATCAATGCAAATCCCAGGTATATGTTCAGTTATTTTAGATGAACTGTTAAATACACTTTTGAGAAACAAAATCTTATAAAAACCAACACCAAATACGTGACACTCAAACATCACGCACAGGATGACAGTGACTCACAGTATTGTAAATCTGTCTCATTTAACAATAAGGGACGGAATAAATGAAGTTTGTCTTTCACTGTAGACTGATGATACATTCAAATATCAATAAATAATTAATCAAAGGCTTTTCATTTTGCTCTTCAGATGACTCTTCTAATGGCTTAGGAGGGGTTTCATGTATCAAGCTAATGGACAGCATGCTGCTGCCCTTTGTTGTTTCAAGTAAAAGAAAGAAAAATACTGATTCCTGCATCTCAAGATGCTCGCTGAAAACTGAGGTATAGAGTCAGTAAGGCAATGCTAAACCCAGTACTCACTCATTGACCCAAGAGCATATGAAGTTAACAACTTGATGCACTGAATTCCTTGTGAGACTAGATTTTAAATTCTTTAGGTCAGTGTGGACAAAACAGTTAAAATCTCAAACACAGTGTAGAGACTAGGTGCACGACACATCATTAGACACACTGATGAAAGTGTTGTCATTTTCTGACTGTGGTCAATGAATGACAAACTATTTCTTTTAAATTAAAGAATACATGTGATCCTTGAACAGTACTTGAAGAGGGCAATAAAACATTGACTTTTTAGCATTTGTAACTTTGTAGTTTTAATCGGTTTTCCTGACTTATTATTTTTTATTAATTTATTTCAGTTATATGAAATGCCTCACAACCCTGAATTGGATAAGAAGAAGAATATGGATGAATTGATGGATGCATAGTATAAAATGACACAAAACAAATTGACATTTCTTAAATCTAGATTTTTTTTAGCCAGTCTCTAATGAGATAAATGCAACTTGTGAGAGTAAATTACAACTGGAAAGCAAATCAAAAGATCTATTAGATTTAAATTAATCATATAATAACATATTGAGAAACAAAAAAAATAATCCAACATAGGAAAACAAAATAAATATCTTAAGACAGACAGATTTACAGTATATACATCCTAGTGTCTCAAGTATTATCCTTTCAGTTCACACATATATCAGTTCATTCATTTTTTTTTTTAGCTTTGGAAAATGGCAAAAGGTTATCTGTAAACGGTCTCGTAGCACACCTTGCTAATAGTGAGTTGGGCCAGTTTCTAATTTCAAAACTGCCATAATTCTTTGTGCCATAAAATCAACAAGGTACCGCAAACATTTCTCAGAGATTCTGATCCATGCTGACACAGTTAGTACAGTTTTTTTGGTTCTACATCCACAATGTGAATCTGTGGTCTCACCACACCCCAAAAGATGGGTATACTGTGATCATAGTTATGGTCAACAACAATGCTCAGGTAATTTGTGACAATGAAGGCATATTATTAAAGGCCCAAAAGCTTGCCAAGAAAATATCCCACACCACCACCAGCCTGAATAACTGACATAAGGTAGGTTTGATCCATGGGTTCATGTTGTTAGCATCAAATTCTGACCCTACCCTCCAACTCTCATGGCAGAATTCAAGACTCATCAGGCACTGATGGCAACATTTTTCCAGTCTTCTATTAGGACCCACATATTGTACGTTTAGAGATGCTTCTTGGTTGTAACGAGTGATTATTCGAGTTCCTATTGCCTTGTTATCAGCTCAAGGCAGTTTCAGCCTTGTTGATGTAACTCTATGGCTGGTTGTCAGTAAATCCCAGTAGCATCAGTTTCTGAAATACCAGCCAACCTGGCACTGACATCCATGCCACGTCCAAAGTCACTTTAATTACCCATTTTTCGCCCATTCTGATGATGGGTTTGAACTTTAGTAGTTCATTTGGACCATGCCTACATGTCTAAATATACTGGGTTGCTGTCATGTGATTGGCTGATTTAATATTTATGCTAATGACCAGTTTAACAGGTATACCTAATAAATTGACTGGTTAGTGTATATGTAATGCAATTTCAATTTCACGTTGGGTAGTTTGGCTTTTAATTTTTTTTAAAATTTTTTTTGCTTTAAATTTAATTTTTTTAATACAGTAGATACTTATGAAACTAGGTAATAAGAAAAACAAGAGTTTACAGCTAGTGGCCATTAGGCAGGTAAACAAAATGTAAAAGTGCTATTATTTTGAAAGACTACTTTCCTGGTTCCTAGTGTTCAGAAAGAAAGAAGTAGGAGGCACTTAGGTCCGTTTCTATAGTGGCAGACAGTCACTCAACCCATGCTTCCAGGCTCAGGATTGGAAGGTATGGTCAGGTTCTTGTAAAGCTAAGCAGCTCAGTGAGCTATCATGAGCTCAGGACTTAAAAGTGTTGTAACAATGATGTTTCAGATAAAAACTGTGTTGCAAGCTGCCACTGAACTAGCACTTAAGAACAGCAGTCATGTGTAGCAGCTGCTGTACATGAAATATTTGATTTATGTGCATTGTTCTATTCTTTCACCTCCTTCCTTAATTTATACATGAACAGAAAGAAAAGTCAAGAAATATAATCTGCACATGGTCACACAAACTACACATTTCCTTGACATTAAGATACAACAATCTGGTCTTTGTAAATGCTCAATAACTGTGGTCTATTCCCCAAATACCTGTGTCAGAACAACTGTGTCACAAGTCACATGAATGTTGGTGGTTTCAGGCAGGGGCAGAGCCAAATTGTGGCCACAGTGTAACATAAACAACCAACAGCAAAACCTTTTAGGGATCCATGTGCTAATCCACGAAACTGTGAATACTGTTTCTCTGAAAAAGTGGGGAGGGAAAGGGCTTTAAAAAGAAAGTGAATTTTCTGTGCTCAACCTCAGCCTTTCAGCCTGGCCACCCCTGAAAATATTTTGGCTCTGCCATTGGTTTCTGGGGTAGCCAAAAGTTAAAAACAGAAAACAGAAATGTTAGTACTTTGAAACTTTATAGTCATCATCATTACTTTAGATTAAAGATGGCTACCATTGCAACCCAAGGTATGAGAAAGATTGGGCACAGATAAAAATTTAAATAATTAAAAAGAGAATAAATTAATCCTTCTGACTTTTCACATTTCACAAATGAAGACCTGGCAAAGATAAGCCAAAGGAAGACTAGAAGGTTACTTAAGGTTTGTGAAACCAACTGAGATCAATGTAATCCTGGGCAGGATTACTACCAGTAAACTACCAGTCCAGGTCAGGGTTTATTAACAGTTGATTAGAACTAGTGCTGCTATGATCAAAACAGGGTGAAACCCACATTATTATGATGTGACACCTTAACTATACCACATCAGCATAATCACTCCACATTGTTGCAATATATACTTTATACTTAAGTCTTTTTAGTTACAATTCCATTTGAAAAAACAAAATGGGTATAGAATTTGCAGGTTCCAGATTATTAGGTACTGATGCAATTCAGATCATTTTGGTCCAGTTAAATAAACATAATATACAATGTGTTAGTTGCAGTCCTCAAATATCTGGCAGATGAAAACAGGGTATTTTCAGCCCCTAATCCACAGAGTATGCAAACAGATCACTTCTGTTCGGGGGCAATTCAGTGCTTTGAATATATTCCATTAGTGTCTCCTTGTGGCTATTATCCCAGTATGTCCAGATAAACTGGTGTGGCTTTCATCAAAGTAAACAGCATCTTCTGGATGTCCTTAATGTTGAGACGTTGTTGCGGTTCCCTCTGCCAGCAGCCAAGCATAATATCGTAGATTTCCTTAGGACAGAGCCTTGGGCGCTCCAGTACTCTACCTTGAGTAATACACTCTATCACCTGTAAAGACACAGAGACCAGTAGTTGAGCAGAGATACTTTACTGTCTTGTTTAAGAAAGGACTGCTACGCAACCAGACTTGCATTAGTTGTGCACTGCACTGGCCGGGCCTATGGCTGTATTGTGGAGTTTTAGAAAACAAAACAGCCTTTTAACAATAATGTTAAAATGTTTGAACCTTAGGAAGACTTCTTTTAAATACCCTTCTTACAAATAAAACCAAGCAGTACATCTACTGAGTTTACCTGTTAATGCCAGGAGTATGAGGAAAATCTGAACATTGTTAAAGCCCGTGACTGTACTTGTTTGTGTCACCTGCATCATAAGAAAGAAATAAGGATATGTGAAGATTTTGAAGCAAAACAAAACAAAAACCCTCACACAGTCAGCAGCAAAACTGGGTCTGGGTTATTGCTTCAAACTCTGACTTAAATTCCACTGGAAACCCACGGGGTGACCTGAAGACTAAGGTCCAACAAAAATAGCCTGGGTTTGCTCAGAAAACATGTATGAAACCTTACAACAAGGATACACAACCTACTTTTAGCATGATTGGGGTAATAATTTTGACCTATTTTTTAATAGGGGGGCTAATAATTGTGTCCTCATCTGTAGATCATCAACAGACTCTTCCCTTGTTACACCAGTAATGACCTCAATGGGCACTCAAGTGTCCACTGAGGATTGGATTCCACACCAGAAAGACCCTGCAGAAAGACCTCTGTTGTTACTGTGAAAGGACCAGATATTTTCTTACTGTACTGTAATTTTGTTTTCCTGATACCATAGGGTAGGTTTTCTATAGCTGTTGCAAGTCCTGTAGTGTCACCGGCCCTAAAGGCTGCCTTGGGGGGCCTGTGAACCTGTCCTGTCAGCCATGGCTTCTGGTTAGCATGGACAGTAAGTTTTGCAGTGAGTGACATTATCAGTGCATTTTGCGATGTATGCTGCAACAGCGTCAGCGTATTCCTTAATGTCTGTTTTAGGTGGATACTTGTTTGAAGATCAAGGTTCAAGGTTCAAGGTTTTTTATTTGTCACATGCATAGTTAGGGCTCGGATGGCTTGGGGATAGAAGCTCCTCTTGAGTCTCTCTGTCCTTGCCCGGATGATGCGGAACCTTCTACTGGATTGCAGAAGTTGGAACAGTTTGTTGCTAGGATGGGACGGGTCCTTCAGTATATGCGCTCCTCTAGTCCAGCATCTCCTGGTGTAGGTGTCCTGAAGCGGGGGGAGAGCAATCCTGCAGCAGCATTCTGCTGTACGGATCACTCTCTGAAGAGCTTTTTGGTCCTTAACACAGCTGTTCCCAAACCAGGATGTGATGTTCTGTGTGAGGATGCTCTTCACACCGCCTGTATAGAAAATCCTGAGGATCTCTGGAGAGACCCTGAACTTCCTCAGTTGTCGTGGTGGTACAGGCGCTGCCTAGCCTTTTTGGTCTGGACTTGAATGTGGGCAGACATGTCAGGTCTGAGGTGATGTGGACACCAAGATACTTGAAGGACTGCACCCTCTCCACTGGAGCTCCATTGGTGATAATGGGCTTGTAGTCTCTGTGCTGACTCCTTCCTAAGTCCACCACCAGCTCCTTGGTCTTGTCAACGTTCAGCTGGAGATGGTTGTCCTGGCACCATGATGCCAGATTCTTCGCTTCATCCATGTAGGCCGCCTCATGGTTGATGGAGATGGCGCCCAACACCACTGTGTCGTCAGCAAACTTCACAATGGTGTTGGAGCCATGGGTGGCCACACAGTCTAAAGTGTAGAGGGAGTAGAACAGTGGTGAGAGGACACATCCCTGTGGTGCTCTTGTGTTGATGGTGATGCTGTTACAGACGCATCTACCCACCCTCACCTTCTGAGTTCTGCCAGTGAGGAAGTCCAAAACCCATGCACACAGACGGCTGTTGAGTCCCAGATCCCTCAGCTTTGTGAACAGTCTGCTGGGCACTATTGTGTTAAACACTGAACTGTAATCAACAAACAGCATTCTCACATAGTTACCCTGTTTCTTGTCCACGTGGCTGAGGGTGGTGTGTAGGACGTGGGCGATGGCGTCCTCTGTGGATCTGTTGGGTCGGTAGGCGAACTGGAGTGGATCTGTGGTGTCTGGGATGGAGGAGGAGATGATGTTCTTCAGCAGCCTCTCGAACACCTTCATTACTACTGAGGTAGGTACAACTGGCCGGTAATCGTTCAGGGATGAGGGTTTGCTGTTCTTGGGCACAGGGATGACGGTGGATCTTTTGAAGCATGTGGGGACCACAGACTTCGCCAGGGACTCGTTGATGACGGAAGTGAACACACCTGCTAGCTGGTCAGCGCAGCAGCGCAGCAGATGGCCGGTGACGCCGCTGTCCTTGTGTTTACTCTCCTCAATGCCACTCGGAATTCGTGTTCCGCGAGGCTGATCACCGGTCAGATGTACCAGTTTGCAGTGCTGAAGCAATCCTTCAGAGCAGAGGAGGCCCCCTCTGGCTACACACATCTGATTTTGTGTTGGTCTGATGGCCCTCACTCTGGGTCTGTATGCAGGTCTTAGAATGATGGTGATGTGATCAGAGAGCCTGACTTGGTGTACTCAGCGTCCAGTAGTTATCTTCCACGGTCCTAGCTGTGGCGTTAGTGGTGGGAGGGATGTAAACAGCAATGAGGTCAATCGATGTAAATTCCCTTGCTAGGTAGACTGGTTGGCACTTAATGATAACAATCTCCGACAGTGGAGAACGGTGTTTGTGCACAGCGGCACACTAGTGGCTAGCCTAATCTAGATACCTTCACACCTGTCCCACTTGTGCTCTCTCTCACACTGCCCCAGTGTCTCCTCTCTGGGCGAGATAGAGTCCGTTGATGTGGTAATCCAGCAGAGAAGTCTCAGGCCCTAGAGTATCTCTGTAACTTTCTGGTCTAAGTTGAGGGTGTTTGGCTTTATTTGTCATATCCAAAAGGGAGTGGTTACAGTATCTTGTAAACTACATCAAGCACTTGACATTGTAGTAATCAAACACCGTTTAGACTCTAAACAACAACAAACAGCTTATTGTCAATTGCTGTTGACAATTTTTGAGCTTCTGGTACCCAAGGCACTGACAATCAGTTATCTGATTAAGGATACCTGTGAGTTTGGACCCTGCTACAGTGGTCAGTTGGTGTCTGTTCTGAATATGCCATGTTTGACTAAATTAGCTAGGGCAACCATAAGCTGATGTTCTGCAAAACCAAGTGGCAGAAGTATTTGGAGTGAGCCCTAGTAGCATCTCCAAATTGAAGGCCCAGTTCCATATAACAGGGGATGTCAGAGACAGGGCACCAACTGAGCATTCCAAGAAAATTACACCACCAAAAGACAGATTCAGTCCAATTGAAATTTATTTATATAGCACAAAATCACAGCAAGAATTGCTTCAAGGTGCTTTACAATGTTAAAGACCCTACAACATTATTTTGTAGAAATTCACAAGTTTTTGGAGAAGTTAGGTAAAATGAGAGTGGCTATTAGTTCTGCTCATTAAGTTACAGTGATATATGCACCTCTATTTTTTCACAAAGCTGGACTAATAAATTGGGCCCCTAGGGAAAAAAGTTAATTTGAGTAAAATGTTCAAATGTTTTGTTCCTGGTAATTACATCATGTCCTCAGCAAATGACATTGTTGAAATAACAGTTTACCTCATTATTGGCGAGCTGGAACCATGGCTGTTTTCCATAAGTGAAGATCTCCCACAGAATAACGCCAAAGCTCCACACATCACTTTCTGTGGTGAATTTTCTGTACATGATGCTCTCTGGGGGCATCCAGCGGATAGGCAGCATGGTGTGACCTCCCACCTGAACATACAGATACATACATACACACACACATGCACAAGTTGAAATGCTTTATGGGAAAGTTATAAGCAGTATGATAACTTCAAAAACTTACACAAACAAGTCAGAATCAACACTGCAAATCTGACTTATACATTTGTGATAATCATTTGAATATAAAAGTAAATACTAGGGGTGCAACGATACTCGTATCGATATCGAACCGTTCGATACAGTGCTTTCGGTTCGGTACGCATATGTATCGAACGATACAACATTTTTAATTTATTT